AGCAGCTGTTTGAAGATAATAGTAACAAGAGGACGGTTTTGACAGCACAGCCGAATGGACTTACAACGCTAGGCAAATCTGGATTGCCAGTGGTTCAGGACAGACAGTCAGAGAGTGCTCACAGACGACAAGGGAGCTCCAGCTCTTTAAAATCTGCAGATGGAATAGGGAAGGTGAAAGCCTCCGTTATGACACCAGAACAAGCAATGAAGCAATACATGCAAAAATTAACAGCTTTTGAGCACCATGAGATTTTTAGCTACCCTGAAATATACTTTTTGGGTCCAAATGCAAAGAAACGACAAGGTGTGATTGGTGGTTCGAACAATTGCGGGTATGATGATGACCAGGGGTCTTACATACAAGTACCCCATGATCATATTGCGTACAGGTATGAAGTCCTGAAAGTTATAGGGAAAGGAAGCTTTGGGCAGGTGGTGAAGGCCTATGATCACAAGATGCATCAGCATGTGGCACTAAAAATGGTGAGAAATGAAAAACGTTTCCACCGCCAAGCTGCGGAAGAAATTAAGATCCTGGAGCATCTTCGGAAACAAGATAAGGATAACAACATGAATGTTATTCACATGTTGGAAAACTTCACATTCCGCAGCCATATCTGCATGACGTTTGAATTGCTGAGCATGAACCTGTATGAATTAATAAAGAAAAACAAGTTTCAGGGCTTTAGCCTGCCTTTGGTCCGCAAGTTTGCTCACTCAATTCTACAGTGCTTGGATGCTTTGCACAAAAACAGAATCATTCACTGTGACCTTAAACCTGAGAATATTCTGTTGAAACAACAGGGTAGAAGTGGTATTAAAGTGATTGATTTTGGCTCGAGTTGTTATGAGCATCAGCGTGTCTACACTTACATTCAGTCACGTTTTTACCGTGCACCTGAAGTCATCCTTGGTGCTCGTTATGGGATGCCCATAGATATGTGGAGCTTGGGCTGTATTCTAGCAGAGCTTCTCACCGGTTATCCACTCTTACCTGGAGAAGATGAAGGAGACCAGCTGGCTTGTATGATTGAGCTATTGGGCATGCCTTCTCCAAAACTCTTAGATGCATCCAAGCGAGCTAAAAACTTTGTGAGCTCTAAGGGTTATCCCCGCTATTGCAGCATCACAACCTTGTCTGATGGCTCTGTAATACTTAACGGTGGACGCTCTCGGAGGGGAAAACTACGCGGCCCACCAGAGAGCAGAGAATGGGGTAATGCATTAAAGGGATGTGATGATCCCCTGTTCCTTGACTTCTTAAAACAGTGTTTAGAATGGGATCCTGCCATCCGTATGACACCCAGCCAGGCTTTGCGGCATCCCTGGCTAAGGAGACGGTTGCCAAAGCCTCCGACTGGGGAAAAGGCCTCGGCGAAGAGAATGACAGAGAGCACTGGTGCTATAACGTCGATTTCCAAGTTACCTCCGACTTCAAGCTCAGCTTCAAAACTGAGGACTAATTTGGCACAGATGACAGATGCCAATGGGAATATTCAGCAAAGAACAGTGTTGCCAAAACTCGTTAGCTGAGTTTGAAAAACCCAATGCTGTTAATATGAGAGATACAATGTGGCTGAGCCTTATTTGTATGAAAAAGTAGCTCAGATATACGTTTTTATTTGCTCAATAACTTTATTCATTTGTATCTTTCAGCACTCATTTTAAATGTAAGAAATGTTGATTTTGTTTTTATAAAAACACGGGGACAATGCTTTAAGTTTTTATACTTATTTTTTAAAATGTTTGTCTTCTACAGTACAACTAGCCTTACTGTAACTAGTGTGACACAGTAATAAACATCAGTGGCAGGCCACTGGTTACAACATGACTGTCATGCATTGCAGAGTGGTGTCAAAGGTATTACCTTTCTCTTCCATGGTTCATATTAGGTTTCACTTGGGGTAAATTTGTAAGACTCTACCTTTTGGATGTTATGGGTATGGGTCTTGATTCTACAGACACTCACACCCATGCCTGACTGGATTCCAGAGAGAATACTCAAAGAAAAAAAGAGTTAAGCACCTGTAAACTTGTAATTTGAAGTAGACCTGTAGCATGTTACGTTGTCATGTTCTGTAGGGTAGCCCAGAGAAAGTAGTGGTATCAATGATACAGTCACCTCCTATGGAATGCTTTCTCTATTCAAAAATAATGTTTTTGATTAAAAAGAGCATTTAAATATAATGCAAAAAATAAGAACTTCCAGGGCTAAAATGACTCTCATATATTGTATGCTGTGGTAGAGTGAGAGGAACGGACAGTCTGAGAAAGAATGAAGATGGAAGTATTTCTGTTCCTCTAAATCTGAAAGTGACCATGAGTTGGCAAAGCAAAATGTTCTGGACTTCAGTTCAGGTATATGACATTGGACATTCACACTGGGCTTCTCTTGCTCTTATTTCCCTCCCTCCTGTTTCTCTCCTAATGTGCAGCTTGGTCTCCCTAAATCACATAGGCAGAAGTGCTTGTTCTGTCAGTTTTATACTGTAACTTCCAGACTGTTATGCTACATGGATTTCACAGATTGCTTTTATTTCTTCTGACAAAGTTTGTCTGAGCGACTGTTGACCTCTCTGGTACATTTACACTTCAGATCAAATGTGCGTGTAGAGACAAACACTATGTTACTTCATTGCTCTCTGTAGGAAAGTATTTCACTTAGACAGCATAACCATAGATGGATGGATGTATCCTCAGTGGACAGCATTGCAGTTGGCAGACACCATCCTAGATACCTTCTAGTAAGGCAGAATTATCAAAGGAAACTTAAATGGTTGGAATTTGATTTAATCTTTGGCATTTGTAGCTGAAAATTAGTTTGAAGGAACAGTTAGAGATATGTGTAGATTTGTTCACGTGTGTGTGTGCTAATGCTTGTCTTTTTTACTTTGAACTGCATTCATGGAAGAATGATGGTCTTTATTGAGGATTAATATCTAGACCTATGCGTGAAATATTCACCCAATGTAGCATATTTTCAACAGGTACAGTTTGAAATCTAAGATCAGTATTTCATCACCTACAGTGACTGTGGTCTACATTGGATGTATAAAACATTAAAAGGGAATTTTAAACAAAGTAGTACATAATCTAGAAGGATTTATGGATGTTAGTACAAATGGACTGCATTAAACCTCAATAACTTTACTATAAGCAGCATTTATATGCACAGATTTTACTGAGTTACTTGTACAAATTACGAAAAATACTTAAAGCATGGTCCCCTGAGAGGCCAAGAAAAGTTTCCGGTTAAGTTCTCCTTCATATTCATTAATTTACCACTTACAGCTTAACTTTTTGTTGTTGGTTGGTTGGTTTATTTTTAATTTAATGTAAGACTGGCGGAGGGATATAAATACAGAATGACAGAATTCTCAGGAAACATATTGCTTAACTTCTTGCCAAAAAGTTGAACACCTAAAGAAGCTCCAAAAATAAGTTCTGAGTAGAGGATGATATTTGTTGATTGAGAACTAAAAATTAGAACATCAATCAACCATTTTTCTTTTTTTTTTTAATTGTTTCCTGCCTCTAGTCAGGTTAAATTATTTAGTGTTAAATGTTGACAACTTTATACAATGTGTGTAAGTGCAATATGTAAACATGTATGAAATCATGTTAAAAAAATGAAATATAGTAATACAGGTAAGAAAAATGGCTTTTGGAATATCCAGTAAGTTATGGTCAGTAAATTCTAAGTCTGGAAAAGAGATATATTAATTTTCGTATAAAATTAACTGAGTCTCACGACTGTGGGAATACAATACTGTGTATTTTTCTACAGTAACTGGGAACCTTTACTTCCTCCACCACCTACTTGGCTTTACCACTCTTTTCTACCTTATCTCTTCCTGCAAAAGTTAAGAAATAGGGATGCTTACGTTAGGGGCGGAAGAAGAGTCACCTCCCATAATGTATTTTAAAGGGAACTTTGATACATGTTCCTGCCCTTCATGGCAATTTAAGGTGAAAATGTTCATAATGTTCATGGGTCATTAATGGGCTAAAACCACTAAATTTTCTTTTTCATGTAACCAGTTCTTAATGCCAATAATGCATTTATGATCCATCTTCTTTGTAAATGCTACCGGAAACTTTAAGGCTAAAATGCAGTGTGCAGAGCTATTTTTTTAACCCAGATACAGTGGAACTTCCTCTATACTAAAGGAGCAGCTACATCAAGGTTTTTAAATGATGTAGCTGCTTTTTATTGTAGCTTATTTATACCTGTAAAAAAGGGAGTGGGGGTAAAGGACGTTGCCTCTTGCTTTGATGTGATTTTATTCTAAGGGCTCTGATAATTAGGCTGATAGAAGTTGGCTTGGAAACAGTGCTTAGTCTCACATGTTACCATTGTCTGGGGATGTCTGAGCTATTTTCAGATGTAGTAATAGCACAGTGTTGTCTTGTCTTTGGTTGCAGTCTCACTTGGCTCAGTTTCTTGCACCACTGGAGTGTTCATTACTGCTTAAGTGTATTGGAACAACAGAGTGATGCAAGATGTGTAGATTAACAATAGAGGATGGATTGTGCCCTTGGTGTTAACAATGTGCCTTTTGTTACAAATGCCTGTTGTCCGGCATGCATCTTGGCCTCTTTAACCCTTTGAATACTATGTAGTAGGGATGGAATCTGGTTTTGGATGCTAAACCTGTCTTAAAACATCCTGTAGATGATCAAGGCCTTAAGAGAAACAATAAGGCAATCACACTGCTAGGGTGGAGAGGACACTCTCTTCTTGTCATATGTTGTGTTAAAGGGTTAAAGATGGCTCTTCCTCATTGGTTGTACTTTAACATCAAATAGATTTTTTTTTGAATAAATTTTTGTTATGGTGACACTAGACAGAAATCAACTGTATTTGTAAAAATTTACCTCAAACTCTTTAGTTTTATAGTGTGATTTTAATCCCAGGGCATTTGGTATGAACCAAAGTGCATTCCTTTTATATGTGCCTGGCTCTTATAAAGGTGGCCAGGGATTTTTACAATTTGGGTGCAAGGCACTTAAGCCACTTTCAACTTGGTGGGTGGTTTGGAGTTATAAAAGACTTCATGGGAATGTGGAAAACACTTTAGACATAAGTAGCATCGGGCAATATTAGAATCTTTAGGAAAGGGTGTGCATTATTTAACGCTCTCCATGTTTTAGTATTTTTTTCCCATCGATAATATTTGTGATAAGTACAAAAAGAACTCTTTTTTTCCAGCCAGCAAAGATTAGAATATTGCCCAGTTTAATGCTATGGTAGCATTTAAATAAAATAACATTTGTGAATTATTGTTTCTAGGGGCTTGTACATCTCTGCTACAAATTGTCATTACTCAGTTCAACTGCTACAATTACGTCTAAGCAGTAGCTTGGGTTTTTATTGGGCAACGACTTAGACACGTGACTGTAATATGCTGCAACTGTGTGTACTGAAAACGTGAAAAACGATTGAATGTGGACTGTGTATATATGTATGTATAATCTTCCGTGAGATGCTGCTGTTGCCACTTAACATTAAAGATGTTGTAGTGGGTTTTAATCCTAGTGGCCAGTTTTATGATACTGTATGTATTGTACAGCTGATGACAGGAGTTAAGACTGTTCTAGTGAATATTTGTTACATTTTATTGTTGTGGCCAGAGATCATTTCAGAATAAAATTTTATGTCCTACTTTATTTCTCTCCACTGTAGTTTGGTTTTTTTTCTGATCGTAAAGAGCCCTGAGTCAATGCCAGCAGTGCCTTTGTCCCCCAGCATGCTCACTGGTGTCTGGTAGAGTACCAATCCATTGCTGGAGGATGGCTTTGCTGCTGCTTTATGTCTCTTGACAGCCTTGAATATTGCCCAGGGGCTGGGTTTGTCCTGAGGTTCCTGAAGATCTTCTCAGGGCTTAGAAAGTAGTATTTGTATTTTTATTTGCCCCATGCTTTAGAGAAAGACATCTTTGGCAGGAATTTTGACTGTATGGGAGTTTTAGGGTTTTTTTATTAGCTGCTTTTTAGAGATTTAAAAAATAACAATAGATCTGTTTTTATATTTGGGAAAGATGTGGTGAATGTTCTTTTTCTCAAAACTGCTTTTAAAAAGCATGGATTTCTGCACTGGTTGTTGAGTCGGGCTGACTTTTCAGGACTTGTCAGACTTCGTGAAGTCCCAGGATAATGAGAACGTACTACACAAAGCTGGTAGCTGGACTGAGGCTGAGGTCTGCTCACATACAAATCCAAAGTAATTTCATTGCTTAGGACAGAACTATCATCTCCTGAGTCATTCGCCACATTCTCCTCTTGGCAATTCCAGTGGACACCCAGAGCAGTTTCACTGAAAAGCTCTCTGATGCAGGGGCTGAAGTCAAGAGATTTTTACTGGACTATTGAACACAGCTGGGAGATTCCAGAGCACAAAAACATCAAGATTAAATATAGATAAGCACAATTTACAGCCCTGAAGAGCAGCAAAAATTACATTTTTGTGGATTAAACCTATTTGTTAATTACTGTGTTCTTCTGAGGACAAAGGCCTTTTTTTTAAAAAAAGTTATTTTAGCTGGTTTTATGGGTTTCTTTTCCTTCCAGTTTGTCTCTCACCGTCTCCTCCAGCCATCTATCCTTCTTGCCAACTCTTGTACTCTTCTGTCACCTCAGTTCATTTGAAGGAGGGTGAGGGCCATCTCCCCTGATTTCCATTGTCTGGAAGTTGGGTTTTGGCCTGTACCATTTGCTGAGGCTCCCAGTAGCTGGTGGGGAAAACTGTCAGCACAGTTCCCTCCCTGCTCTCTGACAGAGAGCTCGTATCCCTGGCTGAAATAGGGCCCTTGGAATCCCACCCTGTAGTTGCAGTTAACCTGCAACTTCCTTTTGCAAAGAAATTGTGGCTTCCTTTGGATGTCAGCTCTGCATCTCTTGGGGTTTTTTAGAGCAAACCTAGTAAAGAATGTGAGAAGGGTATAATTATGGTCAGGGACCATGGTCTTCACTTCTAGCTGCTGCTGCTTTTCTTAAAAATCCTGTTTTGTCCCACTTTTTAAGATGTCCTTATTGAAAGATCCAGGATGAATTTTGCTTTTCATAAGAATGCGGGAAATTAAAAAGTAGGTAAGTATTAAGGGAAGCACCTCTGTAGGGCTGTCTGTGGTCAAGAGCTGGTATTTAGAGGGGTGAAAAAAGGTACCTGTAAGACAAACAGGGCCAAATTT